GAATATTGACAACTGATTACCACTAGATGAGGAACAGCTGACTCTCCTAAAGCAAAGATCGCTAGATAGGCTGACTAGATTCACAAGAAGGGCAAGTAGTGGGGAATGGCTGGGGGTGTCAACAACACAGCAGGCAGTAGCAGAGATATCAGAGTATAAGGGCTCTAGTGGGGGGAGGGAGGCTATTGGGAGGGTGCTACCTGGGAAGCGTGTGTATAAATAAATAAAAAAATAATTCTTCAAAGCATAAAAATTTGCTCATTAATAGTTAGTAAAAGTGAAAAACATTACCATTGAAATCTACCTGATGACTTTAATATCCATGCTCAGATGCCAAGGAGCTCAGAAAGTAACGGACTGTGACTAGTAATAAACAGCTATATAGAGATTAGAAACACATGTTCATCTAAGTGTCAATTGTATTAAAATGAATTTTTCTGTATGAAACTGTGTATTTTAATAACAAAATGGAGATCATTTTTAATGTTTAAAACCTCATTTAATTTTATGTCTTATAGGGTTTATACAGAGTACAATATTGTATAACTATAGTAATTCAACTGTAAACCTAAAAATTTACAGCCAGATTTGAAAGAGATGCATCTTAGCTCTGGAAATTGTTATTGAATATGTCAATGCTGATGTAATAAAATGCTTCTTCTAATTATATGGTTATTATATTTTTAAAAAAGAGCAATAAAAAAAGAAATAATAATAATCTACACATTCTGACTTGTACCTTGCTCTCACAGAACATGGCCTTAACCTACCTGGCCAGATCCATGCAGCTGTCAGTGAGGCTGGTGGAAGAGTTGAAGTACTCTCTGCTGGCAGCCAAAACCAAGTCAAGACTTCTCTCATAGCTGACCCTGTACGGGGGGTTCCCTTTATGGGCCGCACTGGGTGGAAGATTTACCGAACAGGAACTACAGTGCATCATCTGTCCTGCTAGGTGGATGTTCTCAAGGCGACTGGAACAGAGAAGGCTTTCTGTAAATATCTGGGAAAAAAAAATCTGGAGTTACTGATAAAGAACATAGACTCAGTTCAACAAAATGAAGGCTCTGAAATCCAAATGAAATAAACTAAAAATGTGTACTCCACAGATGGAAATTTTGCAGTTTTTGCATGTCCTAAAAAAAGCATTCACTGTCCATATTTAAAAAGACAATTTTGTATTATATGAATTTCATTTCAATAAGGAAATTCACCTTTTAGGAAGTTCACTAAATAAACCAAATAAAGCATAACATTTAAGGCATTACAATAAATAATGTAATTACTTAATGTTCATATTCATTAAATATGGAATTAAAGTTTTGCACACTGTCACACACCTGTAATCACTGTACTTGAAAGCCTAAGACAGGATTACCTCAAGTCTTAGGCCAGCCTGGGCTACATAGAGACTGTCTATGAATAATAAATAAAACCTAGTAGTCAATTACTAGACATACTGCTTTACTCATAAGTGGACCCATTCTACTGAAAGTATAACTACTTCAAATTTTTTAAATGTGTGAATATAGTATCTGATATATACAAATTATAATTGTTTAAAGCATATGAATTTACATTTCCCCCTTTGAGGTACAGGAAATCAAACAAAGAGTCTTGGGTATAACAGATAAGTAGTCTATCACTGAGCTACACCCCCCAGCCTCAATCTGAATTTACTCTTATGACTAAATAGTCAAACTATAAATGTTCAACTCACACATATACATTAAAATTATACCATATAGCACTGTTTTTTTCAACTTGCATATTAAAAATTATTTCAATAAAATAAGAGATACTGATGGAAGGAATCCTTGCAAATATTTTACTCTACTATTAGCACTGATTGGCATTAAAATTGAGATTATTAGCTGGGCATGGTGGCGCATGCCTTTAATCCCAGCACTCAGGAGACAGAGGCAGGCAGATCACTGTGAGTTCGAGTCCAATCTGGTCTACATAGTAAGCTGCAGGCCAGCTGGGGCTACAGGGAGGCTGTTTCTCAAAAAAGAGCAATAAATAAACAAACAAACAAATAAATAAAATTGTGATTATTGTATATTTACTCTAGAAAAACATTTAAAATGTGATTCTTTTAAGCATACATTAATAATGTGACATACAATTTATATAAAAAACTTCTAAATTTTCTTCTCTGTCAGCCATAGTTGGATGATAGTGAAGAAACTTTGAAAAGACTAAAAATTAAATTTCATGGCGAACAAGAGTTTCCTTATGAATACAAAGATCATCTAATTTTCATAGCATCCCCTTTTTATTATTTGTTCTTTTGGGAGAAGGTAACTTTACTATAATGTCTGATAAGGAAAAGTCACTTATATCTAACAAAGAGCTGCTATAAAATAGATGTTGTGACAGAAAACCGATTATGAAAGAGCAGCCCTTCTCACCAGCATCCTGCAGGTAAAAATGGCACCCAAGCCCAACCCAAATGAATAAGACACAACCAATCTATTTTCTCCTTAGTTTATTCAAGTACTCCCTAAAGAGTCAAAGTCAATACTGAAAAATGCAACCTACCTACCCTAAAATGTAAAAGGTCTTGCTAAAATTAACAATTTGAAATTCTAGTCTACAGGTTGCATTTAAATCTTTTGTCTAACATTTTCTAAGTTATACCACTGTGCTCTTAAATTATTTTCCAAGGACAACAAAACTTAATAACCAGGGTTTGGAGAGATGGCTCAGCAGTTAAGAGCACTGACTATTCTTGAAGAAGACCTGGGTTTGAATCCCAGCACCCACATGGCAACTAACAGTCATCTGTAACTCCAGATCCAGGGTCTCCAACACCCTCCTGTCCTCCGCAGGCACTATACAACACAGGTATGCTCACACACATGCAAGCATAACACTCATACACATAAAATTAAAAATAAAGAAATAAATAACCCCCAAAGCTTAATAACCAATAGTGAGAACATACAGCATACTTTAAAAGGCAGAAAAGTACTTAAAACTTTAACTCTGTCAAATATGTATTACTATCTTCTAGAAACTTTTCAAAACTTAATGTTTTCTAGTGTTTTCTTGAGAGAAAAAGATTCAGACATCCTTAAAATGTGAAGCCTAATTTAAAAACTACTACAATATTTTTAAAGTACTGTCAACTTGCTGTGAAATACTGCTACACAGAAGCTGATTTAGTGTTATATACATATTGCTATTTTTTCAGTCACAGAGTCATAGAGCAAAGTATTGAGAAAGCACTATGCCCAAGTGACTCTACTACTTTAGGCAACTAATGACAGGTTTCAGAACCCAGGTGCATATAGCCTATTTTCTACTGAAATTGACTTAAAGTTTTTCTTTAGATGCAAAAGGAAAAGACACGTGCACCCATATGTCATCTCAGACTAGGATAAATATAAACATTTAGGCCATCCATGACTTTAAACCCTGAAATTCAAATATAAACTATTCATCAATAGTCTGTATTAGTGCTCCTTTGTTAAGGTCACCTTGAATTCAAAGGTAAACAAACTCAAAAAAAGAGAGATCAACCTTTAAAATTTCCATTTCATACATGTGTCATACTTTAGGATACCAGAGCAAGGCAGCAGCACCAAAGCACATTCTGCATGGGTTTGTGCCTGGTTAATGAACAAGAAAATTCAAATAAGGAACTGTGCTTAGAGTACAGTTCATCAAAGTGAGTTACTGGATCATCTTCACATGCAAGTCATGAGTGATTTATTAATAATTAATATAGTCTTTCCACAATAATGATTAGGTCTACACCCCTTCACAGGGGTGCCATTCAGATATTGGTATTCAGACATTCTAACATGAACTGGGGGAACTGGAGAGATGGCTCAGTGGTTAAGAGCACTGACTGCTCTTGCAGAGGGCCCAGGTTCAATTCCCAGCACCCACTTGGTGGCTAACACCCATCTGTAACTCCAGTTCCAGGGGATCTGATGCCTTCTTCTGACCTCCATGGGCATTGCACGACACATGTGTGCTTACACACATGCAGGCAGAGGCAATTTAAAAAATAGTAAATAAAAGAAACAAAACATGAACTAGGGATATGACCATAGAAATGATGGGAAAATGCCTACCCTAGGAGCTGAAGGCTAAAACCAAAGGAACAAATCTGTAAATAACTTCATTTAAAGGCAGGCAACAAGTTATATAAAAATAAGCAGCAAGGTATCCTAAAGGGTATTATTAGCCTAGACCTGAACATTTTCCAAGAAAAAAAGACTATATTCCAAGTAGAGGGAATGATGTACACAAAGTCAGAGCAACAGCAACAGCATGGGGGTGGGTGTGAGTCATAGCTGAGGGAGCTACTGGAGTATCACCAGTACACTGTGGAGAGTGACAGAGGGAGGAGTGCCTAACAGGTCCAGCCTGCTGTGACTTTCCATGCAACAAGTGTGGGTACTTACTGATTGACATGGAAAAAGCAACAGACTGTAAGAAGGAGATCATGCAAAGTTTCACTTTAAAAAATACTCAGGCCGGGCGTGGTGGCACACGCCTTTAATCCCAACACTTTGGAGGCAGAGGCAAGCGGGGATCTCTGTGAGTTCAAGTCCAGCCTGATCTACATAGTGAATACTCTGCATAAATGTGAAACAGGAGACACGGACATAGAGGACGGCTGCAATTTAGCAGTGAAGGAAGACAGGACAGATTTGGTTTATCTCCAATAAATTAAATAAGTTTTGATTTTGTTGTTTGAGAATCTTCTTTTTTGTTGGCTTGTTTCTTTCTGTGCTAGGAACTGAACTCAGGGTCTTTACTAGGCTAAGCATATACTCCACCAGTGAACGGTACCCCCCACCTTAAGTTTTAGTGACCAACAGAACCTGCTTTAGTAAGAAGTCCCGTGTGATTCTGAGTTTTCTGAGAACTGATACACTAAATAGATGGTACTGCAATATACAAAGTGGATAAAGGCCAGTGTGAAAAGGCTTCAACTCTAGAACACTTGTCAGTCGGCTGTTATTCAATAGTATTAGACACCTGCAGCTACCTCATAGCAAGCACTGGAATCCAGACCTCTGTACACATTCTGTTGCATAGTCAGCATGTCCTGTAGCAATGTTCTCCAATGAGACTCGTTCACAGGAGGCTGCCTGGGAGGAAAAGGAAAAGGGAAAAAAAGACACAGTTCATGAAATCCGTCCTCAAACCATCAGATACTATTAGTCCATATACCACACCAAATGATCAATAGGGCTAAATCTCATTTAAATTTCTAGGAAAAAACCTGGCTCAAAGACAGAAGAGAAAGCAGGCCAACTGTGGAGCTGCTACAAGCCAGCTTCTTTAGACACAAAAGCATAATACCATCAAACACTATATGGCAAAGGTAAGCAGTTGAGTCCCTACAGTGTAGTAAAAAAGCACAGTAAAATAAAGCAGAGGTACCATAAACAGGGCCTGTTTTCAAATTCCATCTGCATCACTGTATCCCTCACAGAATTTTTTTGGTGGGTTAGTTGTTTCCATTAAGTTTTGATAGTTTTCTTTAGCCAGTCTCATTAAACATCTCAGGAGGGCTGGCCTTCAAGTCACAATGTAGTACAATTACTCTTGATCCTCCAGCCTCTGCCATCTAGTGTCTGAATTATAGGCACGTGCCACCAGGCCTGCCTAAAGAGGGGTGGTTCTGATTTTCATCTGAACATTAAGACACAGATGGCAACTTCAGGCTACTCTTAGCTGTGGTCTGGGGCACAGAAACTACCCAGCACCAGCACCTTGGCTTGAAGTTTCCCTTTAATGGAAGTACTAGTAACAATTCACAAAGCAACACACAGACCACGTGAGGAGTTAACGTCTCAAGTAACAGCCCAGGGACAAGAAGCCAGAGCCTCAGAGGGGTTGCAGGTACTGCCATCTGGCTTAGGAAGAAGCTTCAAGTTCAAAAAACCCAGTATCTTTTGCAACAGTTCCACAGACACAATTTTCAGGATCCCCTCAACAGGCATGCCAATGAGCACACTCAAGGAAGATCAAAGCATACAGTCCCTATCCAGGAAGTGTTCAGATCCACTGTGTCTATGCTGCTGTAGGGACTGTGCCCACTCCTGCCCCAGCCCCCTCAGGCTTGGAAGCCTCTTAGCTGGCAATGCACTGCAGCTGTGGCCAACCAATGCTACTCCACTGGCCATACTGCCTAATAAAAGAGCCTTTCACTGGGAGAACAATCTACCCTCATCAGAGAAATGTATAGAGTATACACGGCAGAAATGTTGCCCATCTAAGTCAAGTTTAATCCTTCTGATTTGCACCACTCTATCTCCATATCCATCAGCTGATGTTCATTGCCCCTTATGTTCTTAGAATCACCAAAAAAGGAGGAATGCCTGGTTCCAGAGTCACCCCCCAACACCCCCAGCCTACACATTTTGCAAACAGAAGACTAATAAATGTGCAATTCAGGATGGGGCTTTCCAATCATCCTGCTTAGTCCTCATCACCCTGGCCTCCTGGCTGAAAAAGTGAGTGGGCTGTCATGGTTTCCACCCCTGGAAGAGCTCCTTCCTCCGGGCAGGCACAGTGGAACTCACTGTATCTCTCTACAGTCCACCCTTGTTGAACGCCATCAAGACTATAAATTCAGCCTTCAAAAGGCTCTGAGTACACATTTAGCTTTCCATAAATACTCCCCTAGGAACTCCAGTTTGACATAGATATTGCTACACTGGCTGACTACAGATTAAGAAGTGCCCCATTCCTGATTTTCCTTTTTCTTACCCCTCTTGGTTTAGCACTTTACAAACCCAATTTACCTCTGGTCTATACTAATCAAATCCTACATAGCTAGCTCATAGCAAGCAGCCTCACGATGGGGCTCACCAAGCCATTAAACCTCCATCCCAAATGAACAGACCTTTTCCTCAACTCTGATGAACAAAGCCCTATCTTGCCTGGTGAAGAGGGTATCATAACCACCTCCCAACCTTAGTTATTTCACTATCACTTCTACCTCATGTTTTTCTTCTTTATGATCCAAGTAACTATTCCCATGAGTTCAAATTTTTAGGATTCCAGGAAAAGCTCTTTAACATGGATCTAAGTTGTATTCTTTACTTTTGGGGGTCCTTGGAGTACTCAAGTGGCAAGCCAATACCTCTATCTCCTCCTCCCTTTTTTCCAGTTTCCTTTTCAAATCACAGTCTAACTAGGAGGACTCTAGATATATGTCCTTTTCCCATTGTAATTCTTCCTTTATACAAGCAAGTTCCCTCAGGGAAGCCATCCACGTTTCAGCTATTCTATGCAAAACTGAGACATTGCATTTGCTACAACAGCAAGGAAACAGATGGGGCATTACAGATAGGGAGAAAGGTATTCATATCACTACAGTGACAGAAGATACTCCACTTCCAGACAGCTCAGTTCCAGGAGTCAGTACTCTTCACAAACTCACCTTTGTTTTATTAAATCCTCCTGGCTACATCAAGTGTTGTGGGAACTCTTTCCCTGGGGAGACATAACATCTACCCCTTTCCTTATAGGGCTCCAAAGTTCAACTTGGTGAAAGAATGAGTTTATTGGGGTTACTTACAGGAGGATGGGTGACCCCAAAACAGACTGAAAGTCTCATCCCAGTACAGATGATGATTTCTCCATAATTGCATGCGTAGATGTAGAACCCTTCCATTAACCTTGCACAGTCTATGGACTCTAGCACCTCCTGAGACCATAAGGCCACATACAATTGGGGCAGAATTACATAAAACTGGATGGGAAGAGAGGAGGGACCTGCCCCAGGTGAGAGTCCAATGACCTTCCCTACCCCTCCTTCTATAAGGGAACATCAACAATCAACAAGCAAATAGCTATGCTGAGAAGATAATGGCTAACATGCTCAGGGAACTTTCTATAACATATACAGAAGAAATTTATCGAGCTGAACAGTTCTACACAGGCGGTGAAACCTAGATAAACCTCTAACTAAAAGCCATTTTGTTTGTTTCCAAAGTCACAGATCCCCTGCAGCAGAGATAGGGCGTTTGCTAACAATTTCATTCACAGTCACAAATTTGCTACATTTGTAAGTATGTTATTTAATATTCCTGAATTAAATGTTCCTCATTCAAAGCCCACTTCAGAGAATCATAAGGAATGGATGAGATTGACTGGTCAACTGCAAGCATTAAAGAATGTGGTCTTAGCTGGATGTGATGGGGAAGCATTTAATTCCAGCCCTCAGGAGGGAGAAGCAGGAGGATCTCTGTGAGACCCAGGCCTGTCAGGTCTACATAGCCAGTTTCAGGCCAGCTGTGACTACAAGGAGACCATGTTTCAAAAAAAAAAAAAAAAAAAGAAGGTCTTAATATACATATAAACTTAATTATCTGTGGAGGAATGACATAAAATGGACAGAGTCTGAACTAATGAACTAATGACTTTTAACCCTACAACCACGTGCTCTTGTAACTTGGGGACCTGACTTTGACTCCTCAGAACCCTTGATTTGATGCTCCACCCAAAGGTAGTGTTCTACAGCTTTGGTGTCAACTTGACACACCTGGATTGAGGAAGCCTCAATTGGGGAACTGCCTTCATTGGACTGGCCTGTGGCCATGTCCCCATGGGCATCATCTTGACTGTTGAGTGATGTGGGAGGGCCCAGCCCACTGTGGGTGGTGCCATCCCTGGGCAGGTGGGCCTGTGTTACATATGCAGGCTGAGCAGGGGCCAGGGGAGCAAGCCAGTAAGTAGAGTTCCTCCATGGTCTGTGTTCTAGCTCCTGCCTCCAGGATCCTGCCCTGAGTCCTACCTTGGGCTCCCTGATAAACTGTGACCTGGGAGATGTAAGCTGAATAAGGTCCCGAAGTTGGAAGCTGTTAGAGTGTTTTGTCACAGCAATGGAGAAACAAACAAGGACAGGTAGTGAATGAATATGGGTATGCTTGAGAATTAAACATATCAAAGTGCTGAAAGGCAATGCACTTTCATTGAAAACCACAAAGATTGAGAAGAATTGTTTGATCTGGTATGTAAGAGATGTTTTTGAGGCCTAGGGATGAAAGGGCAAGATTGTCTGATAAGATACGGATGGACCTAAGATTGCAGCTCCTCAAAATTTAAGCTAGAGAAATGTAAAACTGGGTAAGACCTGATTCCAGGATGGGGATCCAAAACACAGTCTGAAGAGACACCTGAGAGAGTGGGTGTCCTCCAAATTCGAGAGCTCTCTTAAAACTGAAGAGTCGGGCTGTTTATTTAATGTGGCTTGGTAATACCACACATCTGTATGGATTTCAATATTTTTTTAATATTTTATTGAGTATTTTTATGTGTATGAGTGCACTGCCTGCATGTATGTGAGTGCACCCATGTCATGCAATGCTGCAGAGGTCAGAAGAGGGCATTGGATTCTCCTGGAACTGGAGTTAAGGACAGTTCATAGCTGCCATGTGAGTGCTGGGAATCGAACCTGGATCCTCTGCAAAAGCAGTCAGTGCTCTTAACCTCTGAGCTCTCTCTCCAGAAAAAGCCCCTGGAAAGCCCCTGTATTTCAGTATTTTAATCTCTGAGTTTTAGTCTCCTGTTTCCTATATTATTACATTTAATTTAAAGTAGAATATATGAAAAGGTCCCCAATTTTTCTGATATAATAAGTATATGAAAAATGTGAATGGGTGAAAGGTGACTCTTAAATCATTAAAGGCATTTTGGTTTAACACTAATATGTTATGAGGGGAACATTCTATAATTCTCTTTGCATCTCTCAAAAGTCTACCTTAGTTGAGTGTATCTGAGCTTGGAGTTATTGTTATGTTCAACCTCTAATAATCATGAAGTTCTAGGTAATAATGGGACCTCAACATTTGCAACGGGTAGATTCTGTTTGTTTGTCAAATACCAAATAGACGTTCCAATTTACATGAATCTTTTTTGTTCTTTATCTTAATATACTGCCTTTTAAAATCATCACTATTGCCAGGTATGATGGTAATGCACCTGTTATCCAAGTACTCAATATTTCCCCCTGCTGGGTGTAGAAGGAAACACTCCTCAAAAAACAAAAATCAAAACAAATTTTCCTTTTAGTACTTTCATTTTTGGAGATTAGGTCTCAATATGTTGACCAGGCTGACCTCAAACTCCTGGGCTC